AGCGCCTCCCTGCCCAAGTCACCTGCAGTCTGATCTCCATCCCGCACCGGCCCTACCCCCCCGCACTCACAGTCCCACCCCCACCCCGACGAGGGGTCGCGCCTCCCGGAGGAGGAAATGGGAGAAGAGAAGCTGTTACCTGAGCCTCTTCCGCGCGCACCCCGGCCGCGCGCGCATGTGTGACCCAGGCAGAGGCGCCCGTCGCCACTCCGAGCGCAGTCCGCGGGTCACGTGAGCGAAGCCTTCCGCCCTGGAGGGAAATGCCTGCAACTGTCGACGACTTCAGAACTGCCAGCACAAGCCGAGTGGCGACGGCGGCGCGGAAGAATGACGACACGCAAACACCTGAGGGGGCGGGGCCTGCCAGTTCTCCGTGCGCGCGCGCGGGATGGGAGCCGGGCCAGAGGCAGCAGGTAGCGAAGCGTGACGGGGCAATCGGAAGGCACCGCGCAGCGAGGTTGGTAGCGGCTGCCCGCAGCAAACGGAAGCAGGAGCCGCCCGGGACATTGCACAGCAGCCATGCGGCCTGGAAAAAGGGCACAAAATCTTGTCTCCCTGCCTGCAAGATGGAGTGGCCTGACTCCCCTGGCTGGCAAGAAGCGGCTGTCAGAGAGGCAAGGCGGGTGCGGCAATACCTTTTGTTGGAGCCGCTTCTGCTGGTAAAAGCGAGGCGCCTTCCAGCTCCTCCCCCCCGCCCCCGAGCTTGGAAACTTGTCTCTCAACAACAGATTCTGGTCCAATGCAAGATACGTGGCCTCCCTTGCCTGGTCTCTCTAGGGTTCTGGGACCGATACGGCCACAACAGCGCTGCAAACCTTGTTCATCTTTCTGGTCTGCGCTGATGCCCTAAATGTGGCAAGAACCACATGTGCTCTTATTGGAGGAGATGAATTTGTCCAAAGATACTGAAAAAAAAGACTGGATACTGTCCTACAGGTTCAACTGAAGCTTGGGCGTCAGTATATCTATTACTCAGGGGTATAGAAAAATCCCTGAATGACATAGAATCACAGAACTTGGAAGGTGCCTTGAGAGGTCATCAAGTCCAGTCCCCTGCATACCTAGCAGCAGAGGTGACTGGTGATGGGGCACTGATCACGTGTTCCCCTCAGCCTGGAGAAGGACCAAAACAACCCCCTGTCTTACCCAAACCTTGCCCTTACTCTGCCCTGCCACTTTCTCTATCAAAGGCATCCTGAGGGACTAACTAGACATGGGGCAGCAGGAGTCTGCATTCCTCTTCCCCCCACCCCTGTCACTGACAGCAGGGAGAAGGAAAGCACAACAGGATGGCCCCAGCTCACACTGCTCTCTAGCCATGCCACTCGGCTTCCAGGAAGTGCTGGGTCAGAGGGGACACAGACTGTTGCTACCAGCGCTGGCCCTCCAGCATCACTAGTCCAGGGCCACCTCAGCTGGAGGAAGAGGTTGCTATGTCACTCCAGGAAATGGGCAGGACTGGAAGCAGCACAGCTGGAGAGCAATGCAAGCTGGGGCCACTTTGTTACACTTTCTCCTGCCACAGCACTGCCAGAGAGTACGGGGAGGGGGTGGGGTATAAATCATTGCTGCCAGCACTGGCCCTTCAGCTTCACTAGTTCCCCCTACCGACTATTGGCTGGTCCCTCCCACCTTGGGAATGGCTGTTACTCGTCGTACCCTCCCCACACGTTGTCCCTGTATGACAGGACGATGCGCCATCTAGATTAGTAGAGCTCTTAGCTCTTTCCCCATTGGTTGGGGTCAGGCTTGCACCCCTATCAAACAAGAATTCCAGGAAAATTCTATGAATCATAAACGTGAAGTTTCCTTGTCCATGTGCATCATAGGGGAACAATCTGGTTAATAGAATATGATGTACTTGCAATTCTGTCTTGTAGCCACCAGGTGTCTATCATGCTGTTTCCATTAAAGTTTGACTTGCAGAGTTCAAACAGTAAACAAAATTACAATTGAGTTTTGTGGTTTTAGCTGAACAGTGAATATCTAAAGGTATATGTAGCTGTTTTTCCAAATTTAACATTTTTTTACTTTAAAAAAATTTCTTAATTTGATGTATTAAGGTTTTATTTAAAAAATAGCTGTTACATTTATGTGATGGAGTAAGATTCAGTATTTATAATCTATTTCTACACAGAGCTAGCACATACTAAATATAGGTTAGGGATGTAAAATCCCATTTAATCTGCTAACTGGTTAAACGTTATGTTTAATTGTTTGAGCATTTAAATGGGATCCTGCGGGCATGACATTGCTCTGGCCAGGCCTGGCCTGTTGCATGTGGAAGCTGCCCTGGTTGGGTTGGCGCACCCTCCATCTACAGCGAGCCTGGCTGGGCTGTTGGGTAACCAGTAAGCATCACCCGGTAACCACTGACATTCATAATATGGGCCAATATAGACAAAGACAGGGCAAGAATGTGATTTTGGTTAACACACAGAGATACGACACTCAAGAATGGTCAGTTCCTAACTCTGGAAGGGTATGTCTACACTAGCCCCCTAGTTCGAACTAGGGAGGCTAATGTAGGCATTCAAAGTTGCAAATGAAGCCCAGGATTTAAATATCCCAGGCTTTATTTGCATCTTCCCGTCCGGGCGCCATTTTTAAATCCCCTTAGTCCCAACTAACTGTCCGCAGCTACACACAGCAGTCAAACGTTAACTCGAACTAAGTCTAGACATACCCTAAGAGTCCCTCAGCCTCTAGGTATTTGCCTACCTCATAAATCCTAATACAATACTCAAATCAGACAAACATAGGCATTCCCAACCTTTCTTACTTACGGGGCCTGATATTATGGGCATGCTACATAACTCCACAATGCCCTTTGTAGTTGACACACAGGATCTGTATCTTAGGCCACATCTCCATTTACCAGAGGATCAACACTCTGGAGATCAATCTTCCATGCTTCCATTTAGCAGGTCTAGTAAAGACCAACTAAATCGAATGGTGAGGGTGCCTCTCATCAGCTCTGGTACTCTTCACTGTTGCAAGTAGTTAGGGTAGTCAACGGGAGCATTTCTCCCATCGACCTCCCACTGTAGAGATGGCGCTAAGCTCGGCTTAAGGTACATTGACTCCAGCTACGTTATCTATGTAGCGGGAGTTGCATACCTTAAGCCAACCCTCCACCCACCCCTACCATGTAGACCTGGCCTTAGTTCCCCATCTATAAAATCGGAACAATAGGTCCTTATTCCATGAAAGTGTGGTGAATTTGGATTCATTCACAATTGTAAGGTACTGAGTACTAGGATTATGTTATCTAAATACCTACATGGATAAAAAAATAAAATCCCTCATACATCACCTGAATTCACATTCCTATTTGCAGTCTCAACAGAGACCAAAAAGGGAATGGAGATGGAAACTGAACTACTTTCTCACCCTTACTACCTCCAGATCCAGGTTGAAGCAAAATGGTAGGATTACATCTCTTTTGGCTAAAATGTGTGCCTCTTCCGTGGCTTAACAGACAATTGCATTGTCTATAGCAATTAGTCTGGCACCTCTGCAGGTATTCACTAAAAATATAAAATATGTGAATAGTGAAAAATTGACTGTCCTTGAGAAAAAATAAGAACTCTTGAACTTAGAAAAGCTATACAAAGAATCTCAAATTGCTCAGTCAACACTAATGCATTAAGCCTCACAACATCCCTTTGAGGTAAATAAGTTAATGATGATCTTAAGACCAATTACACAAAATTGGAGTCAGCCATAACAACTTAACTGACACAATTGGGATTCAGTTGTGAAACTCATAAGCCTGATAGTACTGGACAGAACACTACATAGTGAAAAACTCCTTAATCAATTCATGTAATAAAACCATTTACGAGAAGAGGCTGCAGTAATAAGAAGGATTATCATGTGGATATTTGAATTACTATTTTTATTACATTCTGACTGAAAGATACAGTGGGATCTGAAGCCTAGTTAATGAAGTGCCTTAGTTACAATCTTTTATTTTATCCTTTTAACATCTGTCCAATCTGAACCAGCCATAAAAAAGCGTTCAGCAAGAGGACAGAACAGGTAAAGCTATCTTTAAAGTCTAATAACCTCACTTTTTCTGTCAGACAGAGAAGCAAGTTTAAGCATGATTGTGAGGGTTTGTCCTGCTCCCCCTCCTCTTCTTCCCTTTTTGTCTCTTAGTCACAATCCCCTTTTTCCCGTGTCGGTATGCCTACAGCCATGGAACTGCGGGGAGGGGGATCCGGGCCCACCCTCTCTCCCGGACCCCAGCCCAGGGCCCTAAGGACATACTCTCAAGGACCTGTCCCACCGGAGGGGTAACGACCCTCAACCCACCGGTGCGCCAGCTCCTTGCCCTGCCCTGGGCTACTTCCACCCCGCTTGGCTTACCTCGGCTTCCCCTATTCTTTCCTCCTCTCACCCCCCCCTTCTCTCCACTCTCTCCCCTCTCGGCTCCTCCGTTCCTCCATTTAAACTCCCCGCGGCCACGGGGGGGGGCCGACGGGGACATCTGACATCACCGCTGTCGGCTGACGGCAGCCCCCAGGGCCCCGCCCCCCCTTTCACCTCCTGCTGAGAGCTCCCTTGCGGCGCCCTCTGTTCTGCCGCTCAGCTGAGCTGCCGCCGCGCTACAAGGCGTGCATGCTCCTACCGAGCCCCGCACCGCCCCCAGGAGTGACAGGGCGATCGCGGGGTCAGTGCGGGGTGGGCCCGCTTCACTGGGGTATGATCTTTTCTCTCATACAAACTTTTTAATATCAGGCTAGTCTCTATTTAATTATATAAATCATCCCCTAAATATATGTTATTTTCTGCTGTTACAGGATACTGGTCCTTTTAAAAGAGAGTGGGATTCAGTGTTCCTGGGCTGATTTTACTGGCTGCACAGTAGTACTTAAAAGGATGGCACCTGGGCCTTATAAAGGGGAGACAGCAGCAGATAGTTGCTAGCCCATGTTTACAGAGAGTAGGAAGGCTTCTGCTAGGCTATGAGTGAGCAGATGATAGGCCTGTGGAGTAGGCTAAACTCTAGGTAAGACCTTCTGGGAGAGCAGGACGATAGCCCATCAGTAAGGTGGGATGGTGTGCAGCTTGGGAGACACCAGACCCCTGTGCAGGAGAGGGGAAGATCTAGCTCCAAGCTGGGTGGAGACTTCATAAGTTAAACTGGACTCAGGAACGGGAAATATTTTGAGTATCTGGCCTGCATGGACTTCTTAAGGGGCTATGAGCAATGGGAAAATGGAGGCAGGTCTTAGCAGAGTCACATTTAGCCAGGAGGG